CTCCTTTCCCCCCAGCGAGGTGACATTCCATGTCCCCATAGCTAGAGTGGTTGTCCAGGGATTGGGCCATCGTGGTCTCTGCCCACAACCGCCACCCAAATCACAAGGCACCGGCCCCTTGTGGACCTTCCTGCGGGTGGTGGGCCCACTGGAAAGCGGACTCACGTCGCTTGTTCGGGCTGAGCCCGGCCGAGTCCCGTGAGCAAGGACCACCAGGCCACCAACCCCGGGCCTGACTCCAGAGTGGGGCCCCGGTGACGCCAATCCGGGCGACGTGAACCTCTTTGATGTGTTTTTCTTCATCAAGGGGGGGGGTTGAACCACTATTTGTCTGATCCGTCGCCTAGGACCTTGCCTTGGCGTTAAGCCCCCGACAACATAGCTCCTAGGTTCATTCGGATACTCAAACCCCTCCACCACGTTAAGGTTGCGATTCAAGGAGAGGTCTCAAAGTATATACAGTTTATTAAGTGCCCGACTAGGGAGGGGAACACACTGGTTCAGTGTTACACCACAATTCAAAATGCCTATTATGCTGTTTCTCAGGCTGCAGTGGGTCACTCAGACCCCACCATGGTCCATCTGATTCCTTCCTACAGGTAGAAACTGAAACGATACAAACCCGTAGTGAGGACCCGTAGTGAGGACATCAAAATTGGTCCAGTGGAGCCATTGACGAACTTCGGGCGTGCTTTGATTGTACTGATTGGGATGTGTTCAGCATGGCTACCAAAAGCCTGGAACCGTACACAAAGGCTGTGACCTCCTACATCAGCTTCTGTGAAGACATCTGTATACTATCATGAACTAGGGTGAGCTACAACAACGACAAACCCTAGTTCACAGCAAAACTCAAACGGCTAAGGAGGCTCAAGAAAGAGACGTTCAGGAGAGGTGACAAAGAGAAAATAATACAGGTTTAGCAAGGAGGTGAGGAAAGCTAAACGACAGTATTCTGAGAAACTTCAACACAAGTTCTCAGCTAACGACTCTCCCTCTGTTTGGAGAGGGCTCAGACAAATCACCAACTACAGTCCTAAACCCCCCCCCCCCCCCCACCCACGCGTGTGGGGTGCTGGCTGCCTGTGAGCGGTGAGTAATTTCCACGGCCAACAGGATTATCAGTGTAGGCTCAGGAAGATGGCAGGGAATCAACCTTCAAGTTAACGAAACATTTAGCCTAATTGGTCTTCATCTGTCACCTCAAACAGAGCTGCGGACTGTTTGAGGACGGAGGGGAGGCAAAGGAAAGAAGGGGGGAGGATGGGAGATTACTGACGGGACAGTGATGAAAACCGGTCGCAGGATAATGAGTCTGGTTGTCTTTTCATCCCCTCATCCTTCGTCTCGTTCTCTCTCGTTATTTGGAGTGACTAGCTGGTGAGTAGCTCCACAGTCTGCTGCTTATTAACAATGCAGAGTGGCTTTAGATGAGTTCATCACTCCCCCGTCCCCCTCATCCTCCTGCCAAGTCTGCATCCTCTCATCTCCACCTTATTTCCCTTCCCCTCTCAGTTTGAACTCCAACATTCTTCCCCCCTTTGTCTCTTTATCCCTGCCTCTTCCATCTGCTTATTCTTCCCCCGTCCTATTGGGGAAAGCAGTGAGAAGGAGATGTGAGGGGAGGACACAGAACGCGAGGAAGGAAACAGACGAGGCCTCAGAACCAAGGTGCACAGGAAAGAAATGCAATTTGGACTTCTCTCTCATTTTCCCCAACAATTCCTCTGCTTTCTGCAGCCCAACCCTCCACCTCCGCCTCTCTCTGTGCATTAGGACTGGAGCGGCAGACTGTTTGGAATCAATAAAGACGGTGTTTGGCAGACGAAAGTCATGGGGCGGGACGGTGACTCGCTAAACACTCATTTCACTTCACACAAATCACCGCCTGCACCTCGTCCACCGTCACACGTGACGGCTACATCCTGCAACAAACAATTAAAAAGTCATACAGATGTATGAACGTGATGTGGAACCTGCATCAATACACATGAGGTGTGTGGCGAGGGGTGAGGGGGGGGGGGGGGGGGGGGGGGGAGGTG